CACCAGGAGCAGCCATGGGTCCAGAGTGTTGCTCAAGGACATGTCAACATGTAGACTGGAGAAGCCAGGGATCAAACTACCGACGCTACAGTTAGAGAACAACCCACGATACCTCCAGAGCCAAAAGCATGTTATTTTGTCATGGGTGAACTGACCCTGGTTGTGTCAGTTATAAATCTACAGCTCTTCTCAAAGACACTGCATAGCAAAACTATGCACTTGTATAAACTGGCCCTAACCTGTCATGTTCTTGTTTTTGCCTCTTTAGCAAGTTAATTAGAAATAAGACACTAATCCAGAAGATGACACAGTGTTTTGGTTTCCTTGCTGACACCCGCTCTGGCTGTTAACGCAGTTGTGCTTTGATATTTTCTGCATTACAGCTTCATACTGCTCCGTAGATAATGAGGCTCTTTATATCCACTGGTTTAAGTCTGGTGCCTATCTCTCTAACTGCAGGAAGATCACCTGACTTCCTAGGAGACACTCAGCTACACAGCCCTCATAACATTACAGCCAACTGCCATCTTTGTGATGCCTGTCTCCATGGACACCACTTCTAACTGACAGGCATGAAGACAAGGTCCACCAGTTACTCTGATCCTCAGAGTCTTCTGCAATTACTAGTGTGTGTCAGTGGGGTTGCATGTGTGTGTGTGTGTGTGTGTGTGTGTGTGTGTCACCCCCACTAAATTTATTCAAGTAAATCATTAAGTTAACGACTACACATTTTGGTAAATTCTTTCACTTTGACACAATTTTAGAGGAAATTTAGGGGAAAATGAGGAGAGGAGGAGCATCTGTGGCTGAGCAGATTAAAAATGTATGGCTAATCAATTAAAGATTAGAGGAAGGGTTTACATCAGACCACCAGTTCAAACTGCATGTGAACATGTGTGTGTAAATACATCTAAACATACACACAGGCAAAGCCCGGCTGGACATTACAGCCATTACAGCCTTTGTAGGCTTCACAATACTGATCATGCTGGGATTTTGTGTGGCGCTTGCTGGAAACAGTTATTAGCCCCCCAAACAAAACTTAAAGAGGGACCAGTCAAGAAGATTTGGGGTCCTGGGGGAGAAGGAGGGGTCAGAAGAAGGAACGGGGGAGGACATGGTGTGGGGTCAGAGGGCAACACCAAAGGGAAATAGGAGGCTCAGGGGCAACAATGGATAGGGCTGGATAAGACAGACAAAGCTGGAGGGAGGGTGGACAGTGCACAAAACACAGGAAGATGAGGAGAAAAAGATGAGGGGACAGAATGGAGGGGTACTAAAACAGATGGTAAAGGGGGTGTGGGAAAGGGGGGGACACGGGAGGAAGGGGGGGGGGGGGAGCTGAAAAGCTACTGGCAACACATGGATCATGACAGTAACAGTGAGGCAGAGAGCCTCAAACCCTAAACATGACTGGATCCCATATGGCAACACGGTAGACATATGCAGATGTTTGTAGAAAATGCTGTTACGAACTCAGCTCTCTCATAAGGGTGATATGTTGTGTCCAATTCCCTTAGTGACAAACGGGGACAACTGACTTTTTGTTGTCCTTATAAAACAGAATTTAGAACATTTATATTTATATAATCATTTATTTAACCAGAAAGTAAAGGGCAAAAGAAAGTTTGAGTGAACAAAGTCTGTCTCTCATTCGCACTAAAACAATGTAATCACTGCCCATGTAGAGTAAATATCAGTGTGGGAAGCCCTCTTAACTAAGAACTGGGCAAGAAAATGTTCGTTTCAGCACTTGTGCACTGGGAAAATCATTGCCCTAATGGGATCATCAATACTGAGGTGTTTCTCCAGCTATTATGACCTAATTATCCGGTTCATCTCGACTCGCTGACCATAAAGAGACGTGCGCTCTCTTGGCTAGATTTATAAAAGTTGTCATTAAGTGGCTGCTCTTCCCCGGGAAGCGTCTATCTTCAAGGGAGCGCGCACTGCCAGGCACACAATCACCCATCACACCTCCGCTCGGTTTGAGGCTGGGCTGATAACAGCTGTTGATACACATATATAAAAATCTACATTTTGCAGTATTCCTCTGGAGTTTGGTGTGGAGCACATGGTGCTTTTATAATTTGTTTTAGGTCTCATTGTAATATGCATCTAATTTTCCCTGATGCACACTAGATGTTTATGACTGTATTTTTTATAACGGGCTACTTTTTGGAATCCCTGTGTTGTTTTATTTTGACCTGCACATAAAATGTTGTAAGGTTGTGCCACAATAATCAGGTCAATTCAGTTTACAATCATATAGCACATTTAAAAACGACAAATGTTTATTAACCTTGCAAATATATTAAATGAAGATCATTGTGCAGAAGTAGATATAGCGCAGGACCTCTAATACAGAAGTTAAAATACTGATACGTATGAAAGTCTCAATTTATATTTGACCTGAAACCACTGAACAATATCTAGAAACCAGTTTTGTTTGTGCTGTGTGGCACCTCCCTTTTCAGTCAAGTTGAAAATATCCCAACATATTTATGCAAATTTCCTCTTATCGCTGCAGTGGGAAGTGTTCGCACTGACCTTTTACCCTCATCGCTTGTTGCCACCTGTCGCCGCAGGTTACACAGCAGCTATTTTGCGGAGATCCAAACTTTGCTCGGGGAAGTAAATCCGGAGCTACACCCGTCAACAGGACACACCCGGAGAAAGACAAAAACACAAGGCATAAACATGATATACTTTTTACTGAATATACTCCTCACCTTTAGCACTTGCCTGCACTTCCCAAGCCCATAAAATGGTAAAAATGTCCCTCAACAAAAAATAATGAGGGTATTTGAACTGGGCAGTTTTCACTGTTTGTCCCCGATGTAAATGCGCATTGTTTACTGGTTCTATGTAGTTTAATATAAAATCATCAGGATCGATTATACATAACATGAGACCAAATAATAACAATAATAATAATAATAATAATAAAAACCTGAAGGTATAGGCCAATAATCAAGGTGTACATTCAAGGACATAAAGTCTGCTGAGCTGTGATGAATTTAACCAGTTTAGCAGACGCTACAGAGGTTCAGTGATGGATCAAAGAAACACTTTAGAGTGGAAATCCCTCCATTTCTGCATTTCCCTGCATTAACTGTATCTATTTGTGTGCGTAACTGGGGATTTTTGTGTGTGTGCTTCTGCAGGGAGTCGACCAACACATTGATATCCTGCCACTACAGCCCACACGAAAACGAAAAACAAAAAAAAAGTTAGGTGCTTAATTTGAAGCTGGTGGAAATCACGAAGATGCTTCAGGTCCTGTGTTGTAGTTTGCCAACATCGGGCTTTATGCGTCAGGAGAGTCCGGATTTAGGGCGTGTATGAATTCTCCCCCTTGGCGAGGGGACCTATATAATTGAGTGTTATTTTAATTCACAGTTTCATGATAGATATTCATCTGTGGGTTTAAATCCCTTGTTAAACTCTGTGTAACCTCTCTCTTGTGACACTTCTCCCTCCAGGCATCCAGTCAGTTTCTCTGCGTTCTGGTCACTTTACAGTGCCGGTCTCTGTTTCCTTTTAGTGTCTTGACAGTTTTATTTGTTTAAAAACAGTCGTCCTATTGTCCTGCACTGATGTAGTGTCAGATGTTTTTCAAGACGAGGAAAGAAGGACTTTAATCACGCACTGACGAGGCCCGCGTGGTTGTAAACCTGTCGTGAAACTGAATAAATATGAATAAAATTATTAGATCATTTTTTCCAGCCTGTCATTTCATCTAATCTTCGCTCATGAGAAGCTCCAGTTTGTCAAAAAACAAACAAACAAACACAAACAAGAACAACAAAAAAACTCTCGATTTGGAAAACCTGCTCTTCTCCCAGGCAGAGGACACAGTGCCATGGATCACTGTCATTAGAGGTGTTGTGTTTGTTTTCACAGGACTGTGAGAACAACATTAGCAGCGTTTTCACTCAGAGGGATCCAGACACCCCGGTGTGACATCACGCGTGTTTTCAGGCAGGGTGCAGAAAGTCAAATCAACTCAGCGCACTTCCTACAAACTTTACGCAGTCTTTATCCAAGCAGAAAGCGCAGTGCAGGAATAATCTGCAACGTAGACATTCACAGCTCAGCAGCCAGGTTTTCTTTCAGGATGATAAATATGTTCATATAGTCTACCACGTAGCGCCAAAACTGAGTAAAACAAGCTGGAGGTTAACAAAAAGAGTCTTTATATACATATCATTTCTTAAACTAATCTTTTATTTTATCGCTTTTTTGTACAACAGAGGCTCCAATCATCTCAATGAATGTTTAAGGTAATTTTTGTGCATTAATTTCACAGTGACATTCAAACTCAGTTTAATTATGGGACAACATGACAACTGGGGGCCAGAAGTCACTTGACTTGGGAGTTAGTTATTTTATTTATTATTCAACATGTTTATTTTGGCTAACATCAGGGTATTTTAATGTGGAAAATTATGTTTTACCTGCATTTCTGCAGGTGGAAACGTTCACAGATTGATAGATGATTGATACATGGTGAGGAAAGTTTAGACTGAAATCTGCTCTTACACCTTCAGTAATTTTCATCCTTGCACCACGAGTGTTGAGTAAAAAGTTCGGAAACATATTTTGTCTCAGTGAGCCAGGTGTTATGTACCTGTCAGGGAGAAACTGTGCCGAGGCCCAGCAAATCCAGCTCTGAACGGTGCTTGGACGTCGGGCTCGGACTGCAGGACGCACAGCCTGCGCGCTCTAATCAAAGCGGAGCTGTGGCTGCAGATGAACGGATCAAACCGTCTCCTTGACAAGTGTTTCCAGTCGCTCAGTGGGTGTAATGCACGGGGTCAGTCATCCTGTATTTTTTTTTTTTCGGGAGCCTCTCTTCTCTTTTCCATAAAACCACACCTCCTCCTTCCTCGTCCAATGGTTGCTGGGCTTCGTCCTCTGCTCAGCCCCGGTTGGATAAAACCTGGCTCAGTGTTGGCTGCACACACACACGAGTCTGGACACACGCCGTATCACTCCACCAGAGTCCCATCATTTGGATAATATCAGAATATTTGCTGGGGGACGTTTTTTTATTTTGAGCTCCAACGTGGGAAGGTAAGCGCTCATTGAAACTGTTCAGAGAAATCCTGTTTTGTTAATGTGTGGATGTGGGGAGCAATCTAGTGAAATGTACTCTGAAATGATCCAAAAGCACTCGCTGGCGCTAGAGTCATCTAGGCTGAATATCGCTTTTGCTTTGGTGATACAAAAATGACACCAAATTGTTCTTAATTAGCTGTGACCCGGGTCCAGATAGGCGCAAAATCTGTTGAAGAACAGGAGAATAGTCATCCAGAATCACGGTATGGAGATCCTTCTTTCGTTCTTATTGCCCAAAAATGAGCTGAACACTAAATGATAATTTGTGGTGAACTTTCAGGAGTGAATCTGAGGTTGCAGATTAAAAAATAAGGCCGTGTAGCTTTTCCATCTTTGCTGCAGTAGCTTAGAATGAAGTCCTAAAATATACCAACGTGCTTGGCCCAGTGAGTTTATACTGTCTTGTTTTGGTGTATTCCATTTTTATTTCTTCCCATCTGATGTAGTTAAAATGTAAAATAGCTGCATTCACTTAATTCGACAATAAAAAAACAATGTCGACTGCGACCAGCCAAATAATATTAAACACCAGGCATTGTGAATAAAACAGAAACTACCAGACAGAAAACAGAACAGCGGGCTAAACATACTGGAGCAAACCATGTTCCTCAAATGGAAAAAAACACAAAAGATAAAACTGCAGACCACAAACATTAAATGTTACCTGATGAAAATATATTTTAACAGATCTGCAAGACACCGAAGCTAAGTTCAAACATCCTGCATGAAATCATGGTTCAAAATGTCATGTTAACCTACAGGCAATCGTTATTATTAAAAGGGGAAATGTATTCAACTAAGTAGAAGCTAAAACAATATTTATAGGTTTATTAGTACCATTTAAAAGGCGAGCACCATGTTTATAAAATCATGGAAATGGAGGAAGTTATGTTGTTTCCAACCTTTTTATTTTGGTCAAAAAATCAGACCTCATTAAAATGAACAAATTCACCCCAGTTAATGTTTTTATTTAATCTGATTTATTAGTGAGAATTCGATTGTTTTGTTACTATCATAATGATTTTTATACTACATTTTTGTTGGAACCAATTGAGAAATAAACTCATGTAAAATGTGTATTTTTTTTAAATATAAAATTTTCACCATCTATTCTTATTTGTTGTATTATAACAATGAGTTAGAGTAGAGTAGGTACTTTATTGATCCCACAGTGTGTTACAGCAGCAACAGAACAACCAAGATAACACCATAAGAACAGACACAACAGAACAGGACTTCATAGAAACACGGCAAAGAACACAACAGGACACAGCTGCTGTAACTTGCCGCCACTCGCGCGGCCCAACAAAGAACAGTTAGTCTTAAAATAAACAGTTACATAAAAGGCAACAAAGGTTAGAACCTATAGACACATGTAACGTCATCAGAACGTTACATTTTACAAAGTGGAACCGACTTTTTTAAAGTCATACTTTACAAACACTCAGGATAAATACAAAACCATTTTAAATCAGTGTGTATTAGGTTAACCCAGACAAGCATCGAGTCAAAAAGCTCAATTAGATCTGCCAGTGCGCAGTAGGATTTCTTTCTAGTCTAATCACAGTGTAAAAGTTATTAACGACAAACCAAAAATAAATCTGGACCAAACCAAGTGCTGTCAATCATCGGCTCTGACAGACAGCTAACAGTGTATGACAGTGTGACAGTCTGCTAATTATTTGGTTCATCCTGCGGTGCCACCCTGCGCGACCTGACAACACCTGACACGCTTAGATGCATTTTAACATGAAACTGCTCCATAACATTCAAATGAACAGTATATGGTTCTTCCCCTGTCCTGTCCTTTAAAACCAACCATGTAATACCTGTCCCTGATGTGAATGTAGAGCATGTCCCTGAGTCTCTGCATTACTGAAGTCAGTCTCATAGCGTTGCTCTTGTTGCTGTGCGCTGCATGGAGCTGGAAGTGTCCACGGTTCAGTCTGCAGACTGGAGAGGTGTGCAGCAGCTGAGCAGATGGAGGCTGTAAACGAGCCTCATATATGGCCAATAACAACTGCCAGCCACCGTATTTAGATTGAACATCTTTTAGTTAACAGTTAGGATCCTAAACATTTGCTGCATTCTGCCATTACATCCATTCTGTTTGAACAAAGACAGAGCAGCCACGTGATCTTCTCCACGAGTCCTTTAATTGATGTTTACTTGATACTTTGTGATTGGCTCATTTTAGGTTATAATTCCGTTTGATCACAGTCTTAGAGAATGATTGTCTCCCCAGTTTCTCAGGATTATTTTCCTCTTTCCACTTATCACACTGAAGTTCCATCATAATACATTTATTATTCCTTAGCTATCCCGGAGCCAAAATGTTAAACACTACTGGTTCTGATAATTATAAGGTGATTAATGAGACCAGTCCATCCTAATTACAAAGCGGTTAATGAAGGGAAAGCTGAGAGCAGAAGCAGCCATGTGGGTTGGCTGAAGGGGGAGAAGAGTTTTCCTAAATACTGATTATTAAATTGTAGTATTTCTACACAGACACAGACACACGTGCCTGTTCCATAGTTTAATAATAACTTCACATAAAAACACATGAATTCTCTGCTGCTTCAGTCACATCTCACTAACACATGTGCAGGTGATTTGAGCACAGTATCAACACCAGCTGAGTATTTGCTCTGCCTGAGCTCAGAGGCATCACACATGTGACAAACAGCCGGTTTCATGAAGCCATGTCCTCCTGCAGCGTGTGACCGCCGGTGCACTCAGGAGCACACTCATGCCACACGAGGCGGAACGAGGAGTAAGAACACTTTAACTGGGACAGTGTGTGGAGGAGAAAGTCACGTTCAGCTGGCGAAGCACGGGCCAAAACCTCAGGGATATGTCCAACAACACAGGAAGAGGTAAATACACAATACGAGCTGGATTGCTTCTCTAAACCAAGTGTGTTCCTTCTGCTGCTGCTGGCTCATCAGTTTACCTGAAGATAGCTGACGTTTCCCGACGTTAAGAGAATTTTTCTTTTGTCATGAGAATTGTGTCTGCAGTTTGAAAACCAACCCCGCATCCCCTTCCCCTACCCGCTGCCCCAGTGTGTAGTGGAAACATCTTGGTAACATTTGGTTACCTAATAAGCAGTAAATAAACAATTGATAAATGGGTTATAACACAGCATTATGCGCTGTAATTGTAAGCAGACATGTGTTTATTATCACTATTAGCCAAAGGTGGAAGCTGCAGGTCATTTAAAACATCCATAATAAACCACAGTTATAAAAATATTAACATGTGTCTTTACAAGAGAAGTTATAATTACGGACTAATACACATTTTAAAATGTCCTCATATGTGCTTCAAGCCTATGGTGTCTCATAAAGCATTTATTAAATGGAAAGTGTTACCTTATCAGCTTGTTCCTAGCTACGCGTTTACATGTAGGTGCATCAGTATTTATCCAGAATGAATGTGACACATTTGGAAACTTTTGGATCTCCAAACTAAAGTTTCACCGAGCAGTGCTTGGCTGTAGAGAACGAGTTTAACAACTGGTCCAAAAGTGGGTGAGTCACATTCATAGCTGTGGAAGTGACTCTCTGGATTCGGTCTTTCTAGTGCCTTCTTATTTTGTTGTCCTCTGGTTGTTGCGCCATAGCTGTGGAAGTGACTCTCTGGATTGGGTCTTTCTAGTGCCTTCTCATTTTGTTTTCCTCTGGTTGTTGCGCAGGATATTGAGTATGAATTAGATGACACTTAAGGCTGTGAGAAATACATCTAATAGGATACTGAGTATGAATTAGATGACACTTAAGGCTGTGAGAAATACATCTGAAACGACCCTCCTGTGGTCAGAGGAGCTGGGTCAGTCATGGAGCAGCAGGACCCTCAAAGCTTCTAGCTATATATATATCTATCTGTCTGTCTGTCTGTCTGTCTATCTATAGTGTTGTCCTGTTGACTTCACGCTTTGTTTTTCGGTGTGCGCGCGGTGTCTGTGCGCGTACCTGGGCGCTCATCCCCCCTCCTGGGGGGCTGCTCCACTTTAATATCCTGCAGGTTGATGAAGCTTGGCGGGGAGATTTTTTTCCACACTCCGCTGGCAGCGTTAATAGAGGCTCCCCCTCCCTCCCTCGGCCTCGTCCGGCCGCTGTTTGATGTGGAAATCAAAGCTGGGAAAAGGCAGAAAGAGCGAAGTGACTCAATGGGTTAAATTAAAAGCGTCGCTGTTCTTGCAGAGTCACCACCGTGCAGTCTGCAGAGACGATAGCGGAGGCTGCTGGTGTTTTTCTGCTGGTGTTGGTTGTTATTTTGCAGGAGCATAGATCTGACACACACACAAAAAAATCTTCCATCCCATCCATATTTTGCATTTATGATGATCAAAGATGACAGTGTCGATTTCTTACATTTTTATTTTCCATATTCTGTTGTAGCTAATACACTGATTTCACAATATGTTGAGCGTGTGTTTAAATGGCATCAGCCATAAATGATCTACTTCATAAGAACGTGTTGGTGTTATATTAGTGCACAGCACAAATAACATCTTATATTAGAAAGGAAGAAAGGCATATATGTGTACATACATGAAAATGACCATTGCGTATTATACATTCCTCCAAAAACATGAGTAATGATGTAATTATAATAAATAACTTCCTTTACTTAATTTAAATATTTGATATAAAACTGTACAATGTGTTTCACAGCAGATGAAAAATACCGATAAAAGACAAAATATATATTGAATTGTTCCACATGTTTTTTTAATCATTTTAATTAGTTTCAGTTATAAGGACAATCAAAGTTATTGTAATTTCTTTCTATAATTTCTGAGCACAAAGTAACACCCAGTCCCCTTCAGTGCAGCCAACTGAGCCTCATGGTTCAACCAGAACAACAAAGTAAATACGAGTTGTGACAATAAGCCTGTAGGTGTTATTTATATCAAGCTAATTAGCCTGAGAGTGATCAGTCAGTCAATCATCACTTTAAAAGTATGAGCTTTGCTAATAGATAGTGGCAAAATTAACAATCCATGAGTTGAGTATTATCTTTACTGTGTTACTTTTTCATTGTGATTTCAGGTGTAACTCATGCTGAATATTTGATCTAATCATTTTCCATAAAACTGGGATCCACTGAACCTAAATAAAATATTATCACTCTATAGGAATGACAGTGAGAGCAAAACAGACTTGAATTGCTTTAAATATATTTAAATAAATCATCTTTCCTCTCCATAACTTTCAACCTTGTTTGTTCGCTGCAGTGAAGCTTTGTTTCTTTTCAGTGCTTTACTTCTTTATGTTAAACAGCTACAATTTGTTGGGGCATTTACAAAATGGAATAATGGAAAAAAGGAATAATTCTCCTCTGTGTTTCAGTTACCTTACCATAATTTAAATAAAATCTCTTAAGATGCCCGAGACTACAGCATTAACACATGAAAACAAGCTGACAAGTTTTTACTCTTTTTTTTTTTTACAGCTACTTTTCATTCTCACGTGCAACATTAAATTAGTCAGTGAGTGAAACATGCATTTCTTACAGATGCTGTGTGCTTGTGTCCACACGTCTGAGATGGGAGCACTGTGTAAGCAGCGCATCACTACCTACAATCTGTGTATATTATAATTTTGTCAGCACATTTGGTGGTAATACAACACAAACCAATGTGTGTGTGTGTGTGTGTCCAGGTTTGTCCGACATTTCTATGGTGATGTGAGCATGTCTCAAGTCTCAGGTTCCTTGACATTTATGAGCGTTCATCCCCCCTCCTCCCCCAGGTCATGGGGGTCTTAACCAACTAGGTGGAATGTTTGTTAATGGCCGTCCACTTCCGGAGGTGATCCGGCAACGCATCGTGGACATGGCCCACCAGGGGGTTCGGCCTTGTGACATTTCCCGGCAACTTCGAGTCAGCCACGGCTGCGTCAGCAAGATCCTGGGCCGGTTAGTACACCAACAAGCACCTCACTCCACTTCCTGTTGCTGGTCATCAGCCTGTCTGTGCTCTTTGACCTCTGAAAGTTTGTTTCATCATAAGGGACACTTTGGATTCTTAACTAATGACAGAAATCTTTTTTCTGCCTTGACTTAAACATAATAATCCTTTACGTCCCCCTTTCCCTCAGCTACTATGAAACAGGCAGCATCAAGCCTGGTGTGATCGGTGGCTCAAAGCCCAAAGTGGCCACCCCAAAAGTTGTGGAGAAGATTGCAGAATACAAGAGACAGAATCCCACCATGTTCGCCTGGGAAATCAGAGACAGACTACTGGCAGAGGGCGTGTGTGATAGTGACACAGTGCCCAGCGTCAGCTCCATTAACAGGTGAGAAACTGATTTATCTGGAATCAGGTTAGAGGCACAAATATGTTTTTGTAGAGCACGGGTTGATATGTGAGTGGAAATGAGCACAACACAATCAACATCTTTTCACCAATAATGTTTCATTACACATTTCTTGAAGGCACAAGAGAAACTGTGATATTCCTGAACTTTTCCTTGTGCATCTTTTTTCTCTAATCATATGCCGACATTATGGCAATGTTGATACCCACCGGATAACACTTAAAGATTGTGTCAAATGTTGAGTTATTGTTTTTGTTTCAGGATAATTCGAACAAAGGTCCAACAGCCGTTCAATCTTTCTCTTGATGGAAAAGGCCTGAGTCCAGGAACAACCCTAAGTAAGTCTAACAAACACACCCACAACGACGGTTACATATCATCATTGTCCATCTCGCCAAGCATTATCATGCGACACTGCAGGATTAAGGTTAAAGAGGATGCTCTTTGCACTGTCAAATTAAGCTCGTGACCTTGTTGTAACTGGTCATTGAAATGTACAGTATAATTCTGGCTTTCTGTCTCAAGTCTTTTTGTTTTTCTTTCTCTCTTAGTCCCCAGTTCGGCAGTCACCCCTCCTGAGTCTCCACAGTCGGACTCTTTGGGCTCCACCTACTCCATCAGTGGCTTGTTGGGTATCCCCCAGCCCAGCACTGAGGGAAAAAGGAACCATGATGACAGTAAGAATCAGATTAAATGAAGAAGACACCACAAGTTGGTGCAAGTTTATTTTGTTACAGTGCAGGGAAGCAAATCTATCAGATGGGTATCAGAGTGAAAGATGGAAGAGATGATTGGTGACAAAACCAGAGAACTTACCCAAACCTTACCCAGAACCTTTGATTTCTAACTCACAAGTATGTATAAGCATTACACACACTTTACTCACAGCTAGGCCTCAGCTAGTGCAATGTCATTTCAGATATGTTTATTCCAAGCCTAAAGCAATTCACAAACATATAAAGATAATCCTCATGTACAGCTTCTATACTTGCCCCTTGGCTTGAAAGAGAAACACATTATGTTTGGATAGTTGCTAATATGATTGTAAGGTTAAATGGTTAAAAGGTCATTTATTAATGGAGCTGTTAGATTTTTTTTGCACAAATTTGGGAGCAGAATTATTATTTAGAGTTTCACCACACACATCACATCATCTCCCCCCTCTGTCCTCCTCTGTGTCTCTCAGGTGATCAGGAGAGCTGTCGGCACAGTGTGGACTCTCAGGGCAGTGGGGGCGTTCCAAGGAAACAGATGAGAGTGGATCAGTTCTCCACAGCTACGCAACATCTGGACTGTGGGTTTGAGCGTCACCACTACCCACCAGACTCCTTCAGTTCAGCCTCCAGCAGCAAGACGGAGCAGGTAGCAGCACATAACAAAAAAATAGCATTCAATATATCATGAAATACTTCTCCAGAAGTAATCAGTACTTAAATACAAGTCCAAAGGGAACATAATCATGTTTAGATATACATTTCTTTGTCTTGTTTTCTTTTTTTTTCATTTTAGATTTGCTTCTGTACTATTTGAAACTATTAGCAAACAAATTTACTTCTGCATTTGTGCTTTGGCTTGCGCACAGGCAAATTTATTTGTTCCACTTTCCTTCAATAACTAATCCCTGTTTATCATCCCAAGACTTTGTACCCGTTGTCCCTCATCAATGGCAGCCTAGATGAGGCCAAGACCAGCCTCTCAACATCCAGCTCTGCCATTGGACGGAATCTGACGGCGCACCAGAGCTATACCATGGTGACTGGTGAGACTCTTAATGTTACATGATGCCCTTCGACCTCTTTCAGTCACATGGCATAAAGTTGAAGCCCTCAACATGCTGACCCTGGCCATCAGCATCTGTTACACAGTAGTGTAGCAGTGTCCTTGAAACCACTCACTCTTTGTTTGTTTTTAACATTTAACTCATTTGTTTTTGTTCTAGTCATGTTCACCCTTTGTTGTCATTTTCTCACCCACCTGCCCCATTGCTGCACACTGGCTGTCACCACCTCAGAGCCCCTACAGGCCCTGCCACTCTGTCTAAAACAAGAAATGTCCCCAGAAGTGACCAGCACAAGCTCTTCCCCAAACATGATAACATCTAACCTGGCGTTCGTCGAGCTGCAGACGCTGCAGAAACCGGTGTCAGTTAGCAGCAGCTGCAGCAGTTCCAACCATTTCCCCAATGCCTTCAACTCATTCTCCCATCATGCACCAGTTTATGGGCAGTTCAGCAGTCAGTCTATCATATCAGGTAATGCAGGCATCCATCTCATTCATGTTCACACTCGCAGAATCACAGCATCTTGTTCTATATAAATATTAAATGCTCACTATTCACACCAAAGGCACTAAAACTGCAAATATGTTTTAGCAATTTTCCTTAAATAAGAATAAAAAATGTTGCTGATTAATTTTCCGATGATCATTTAAGCTCTAACTGGGTGTAAATCATTCACCGCAAAATAAAACCTCTTAGCCTCTCATAGCTATTACAAATATAAAATAGTATCTTTGATCTTGATGTTCTTGTGCGTTTTCAGGGCGTGACATGGTGAGCTCCACTCTGCCAGGCTACCCACCTCACATCGCCTCCCCCGCCCAGGCAGGGTACTCTTCCTCTGCCATCACAGGCATGGTAGCAGGTAAGGAGCTCACATATTACCAAAAACAGAACAAATAGAAAGAAAATACAAGTCAAATGTACAATTTCATCAATGGAATGAATGAGAGAAAGTAAAGAGAAGGTAGAGAGAAGGTAAAAGGGAGGGGGGTAATGGAGGAAGGAGAAAAAGGAATAGAGAAAATACAGGCTTGTAGTTTAACTGGGAAACAGGCTGAGTTAATAAGTAGACTCGCCTGGGTGGTGAACTGTGTTGTGCATGTGTGTCTGTGTGTGTGTGTGTGTGGGTGCACATGGGCCCAGGGGGTACAAGGGACAGGCTGGGGGTTCCGCCCTGCTGCCCACACCGCCTCCACCCAGACACCTCTGACCACACATCGCCATGGGAACCAGGGGGCCCGGGAGGGAGACGCCAGGATGGGTGGAGGGGGTGTAAAGTTTGGCTATGAACGAAGAGGAGGAGGTCTTTGTGGTGTGTGTGTGTACGTACATATAAAACGTGTGTGTCTGCATCAAGATGCCTGCGTATGGCTAGAAAGAGAGAGAGAGGGAGGGAGAGAGAGAGAGAGAGTGTGATGTCCCTTTTTTATTTGAAGTCTGCCCTCCGAAGCGCGAAATGAGAGGGTCTGATTTATTATTTTTCGGGTGGGCTCGCTGTGAGGAAGCGTTGATACACAATTACTGAGTGAAAGGAAGGGGGGTTAGGACAGGAGGAAGAGGAGGAAGTGGGGAGCTCAGGGATTCATTCCAGCCAACATAATTACCAATTAGATATTGGAATGTAAAAAAAAAAGAGTAAAGAAAGGGAGTGCCAGAAATCAGGAAGTGTAGGACGACGAGAGGAGGAGGGGATGTTTCAGAGGGCAGAAGCTGAGCAACGAGAGGTCGAGTGCTGGAGAAAGAGGGCATGCATGCACCACTAGGCCAAGGGATTTTACCCTCAGTCATCCACCTGCACCACATATTAATGGTTTACAGGCTGCACTAACTGTTGGTGAATTATGAGCTAAGGCTGATCTGATGCTGGCACACAGACAAGCAAAGCAAGCTCCTAGTGATGTCTTAGCTGTGCCTTTAAATGTTGTTTTTGCTGCTTTGATGTATGTTTTTTTATGTGGATATGAGCATTTGAGGAGGTTTTTTACTCTCTTGCAGCAGGTGCAGACTACACTGGTCAGTCCTATAGCCATTCACCGTACACCTCCTACAGTGAAGCATGGAGGTTCACCAACTCCAGCATATTGGGTGAGTGAGGACACACTGACAGTGTGTGAGTGCCTGTGTGTGCTGCATTTCTGTTGTTTGTTTACTGCTGACAACCTCTTGCATCTTGTGCCTTATCTCTGACTATATTTGGTTTTAATATAAAGTACTGAATGTGACCTTCACAGTAAAAAACAAATTATTTAGGTGTTGAAATGATGTTTAGCATCTGCATAAGTGTAGAATTTTGAAAAATTCACTTCTACTGACCTGATTTACAAACGTGTCACGACTAGAATTTAAATGAACAACCTCCAGGAAGTCTCATGCAAAATGCCTCAGTCACATCATATAATGCAGGTTCGTCCTCTGTAAGTCACACCGTTAACATACTCTAGGCATCTATTTCGCCACTTTTTTTAACTACACAAGGATGGAAAAGGTGCAGAAAATAAAATCAATATAATATCAAAACAATTACAAACTAATACTAAGAATGGATAAAATACTTTAAAGGAGGCATATGATTAACAAAGATGCTTCTTTCAACCAAATAACAATCAGACACTTCTGTATAAATTCCTTTTCCCCCAAAATATGAATGCTTTCATTCCCATCTGTGTTCCATACTGTACATTTATTAATGTGGCAACATATTAATGCGGTACAGTCCAAGCCACAGTAAATCAAGCAGTCAGTATTCCACCTGATTTTGAGGACACACAGTACTTGTCTTAGAGTCTGAGCTAATGATTACAAGACCAGCTTGCAGCAATTTGTTTCATTAGGACAGATGTAGAGATGAAACTGAAAACAAAATGCTTTATAACTTAAAAAATATACATATTTAGATGGTATATCTAGACTATGAAGGTCTTTTCATTAGCATTAAGGCATGTCAGGCAAGTTTGAGCTGATATCGCCTCCACTCTGGTTAGAACCGAAAAGTCATGAGTGAGGTTTTGGATCAGTCAAAGGACAAACAGTCTCATCTGCTCACACTTTCAGCTCATACATCTGCTGTAAAAGCTTTACTTTAATGGTAGATGAAAGCCTGATCCATCCTCCAGTCCTGAAGACCTCCATGTGTGTCTCCCCACATAGGTTCACCTTACTATTACAGCTCAGCCTCCCGCACCGCCCCGCCGTCTGCAGCCGCCTACGACCACCTCTAGTCCGTGCTGTATGGACAAACTGTGTGCTGACGAACCTGGCTCGACCCAGACCATGACTGGAGACCCTTACATCAGCTAACACATCTGAATGCAGACCAAGGCATGAAACTCAGACTTGGATGTGAACTTGAGGTTGTGTTAATGAACCAGCAAGGCATTTTTTTAACACCCTTTCATGGCCTACCACAACTCCTATTTATTTATTTCTCGGCACCTAATGTACCATTTCCCAGGGTGACACTGACTTGTGCACGTTTACACATTGTTAACACCGATCTCCTCCCAGGGCCTATTTCCAGAGACTCAGTCTGACACCTCACATCAAGGCCCACATTTTCAGTGACAGAGCTCTTTAACACTGTTTCGGCCAAAGACTCCTTTTTCTGCACATCTGCAACTTGACTCCAGCGACTAGGGATATGCAACTTCCTCACACTGAACTATGCCTCTTGATCTGTGTCTGCTTGGAAATAAATTTTGTGATTTGCTTTTGCTGTAAATTCAGATTATAAGAGCCTTCCTGTAGTGAAAATAGATTCAAGGATGACACATTAAATCACAGTTACAACAAAATGTCCACATATGCCCCTTAAAGACAATTAATGTATCTGTCTAGCAATATGTACATACTGTAAATGACGAAGTATTCATGGGGAAGGAAGTGATGCAGTTTTACTCAGAGAATAACTGAGGACAGTTTGGCTACTGAAACCAACAAGGCTTGAAATACATTTGTTTTAATTCAAATACATTTAGTTTGTTGTCATGCTGATGTTCTGATGTTTGGTAAAAACTGTGACTATTTTTTCTTATACTGTTATTAATATTATTGCAGATGTACTGTAAATATTGAATTTCTAAAAAAAAATTATTTTAATTAAAGCATGACAAATGTTTTCCTGCTTTCACTGTTGTTTTTCTGATTTCTAATGTACATTTTTTTCTGTAAATAACTGAAGTATGGGTATGACAGTAGCTATATTTCTTATGGTAATGTGTGTCTTAAAAGCATATAAAGGTCTCACGAAAAGGCAGCTGCTGGAATTCATGAGATGAAAGTTATTATTATTATTATTATTATTATTATTATTATTAATTATTATTATTATTATTATAGCCAGGTACTTAGATGCTCCTGGTCAGCTGCTTAACCTGAAATGTTGCAAATTTTTTGCAACTCTCAGCATTTTAAAAGGACGAAATCAATGATCCTGAAGACACACATCTGTTTAATTTCTTTTTTTATTTTCTGCATCATGTAGTTTTATTTGCAATTATTTCATCCCTCTTTGCAGCCTCATTATTGCAGTGCGTTAACGAGGCCACGGTTCGGCGGTGCCGCGGCCCACCTGGTGCCACCACGTGGGACACCACCCGCCAAGATGATGGAGAGGGAGGCCGTGCGCGCCCTGAACGAGGCCTATGTGGATGTTTAGGCTCCCGCTCAGGCAGCTACATATACACACCACATATACTATGAAATGTAGATCTGTAATAATTTTAATCTTTTTTAGAAAATCTATTTTTACTATTAGTTTTTACTATTTCCTATGTAGTTACTGTTTTTTTTATATTTTTCTTTATTACCAAATGTTTGTCTATACAGTAACATTTCTATTTAATTTACAGTTTTTTTGTTTATTCTCCGTTCTTGTTTACTTACCAGAATTTCCTATTAAAAACACATTTTTCTTTTCTATGTTTTGTTTTCATACCTTTTCTTAAATGAACCTTAACCTTAAATTAACCTTGGGATCTCTAGTAGTAGGGAAACTTGCACATGAACTTGATTCAGCTTCTGTTTTGGGTTCTATTCCCTTCTGTGGGGGTGATGTTTATTAGACTGTAAGCTCTGCAGAGATCTTCAGCTCCCAAACCCTCTGTGAGGTACATGGTCTAATTCAACATTATAGAAGCCTTTGGGCCTAATTACCTTTAGAATCAGGCTGCATGAAAACATTTGCCTGACTTCTAATACAGTCATATAAAGTGGCCGTTCAGTCAGAGCGGTATCTGTCTGCTGATGAAAAGCCGTCCTGGCATATTTCCGCTTACATTGTGCACGTCTCTTTCTCTGTCTCTCCAAGCCTTCACTCTGCTCACATTTCACTGTTTTCCTGACTCACCTCTTTGAATCCCTCTTCTTGTATGTGCACGCAGCATACTTCCCTGTAAACTTTAAACAATAGCTGCACTTCATCCCATTGTTGTCCAAGTGGCCTGGCCCACTCCAGACAGCCCATCAACCGACTGGACACTCATTCTTTCCAGTTCCCTGCTCAGGCATCCAGAAACACACACATCCATATACATTCATACATACAGAGGAGCTTTCAAGTGGATTTGCCTTAGAGGGACATGGCAAACCTTTTAAGTGAATCCAGGTTCAGATTGCTCAGCCAACTGACGGCTTGCCTGAAAAATAATGGCAGCAAACGTTAAACATTAACAGTCTTGCTGCCAAAAGAGTCAAAAACAAAACATTACACTGCTATACACAAGGCACAGGAGAAATAACTTCTGTCTGCCCCTCTCTCTGGGCCTATTAGTGAGGAGCTTTCGGGCCACAGTGCTTGTGGTAATGAGCCCAGCAGCACAATACAGGCACCAGGCCGGAACAACTGAGGGCAGACAAAGCTGGCAGGACGGGGCGACGGGGACTTACTACATTTAACACACAGCCATACTAACACTGCCTCCGTCCATGTGTGTATGATGGAGAGACAAATCTGTGAATGTGTTTGTGTGATATAATAGTGTGTGTGAGTGTGGGGGAGAAGACGTGTCCCATTACCATTATGGGGACAAACTAAAAAAACAGAATGGGGGCCCCTGGAGAAACTGCTGCCAAAAAGGCAGCAGAGGAGTGTGTGGCAATCAGTGGGATGACGGGTCAGGGTTGTCCTGCGCCAGTCATGTGGAAAGTTCTCCACTTATCTCTAAGCCCGAGACACCACTAACCAATTCAGCCCAGCAAAGAAGTATTATGTAGGCTGACAGAATTTGCCTATCCAAATGAGTTGCAGAACACACCGGTGTTTCAAACTGTGAATGGCAGCACTGCTGTGTTAGAGGCCCTTGAGGAAACCCAGATTGTACAAGTAAACCTATCACCTTGCTTATTAATGGTCGTGAACAAAGCGTAGCTGATTATCCTTTGTGGTCTTTTTATACTGAACCATCCTTCTTTTTGAATCTCCTACAATTATTTTGGAGAGCTTTCTTTGTGTTCATTTTGCTGCCAGTGTAACTAAAGGAAGCCAAAATGCTGCATCTGAAATAGCTGTCCAGGTAAAGCTGGCACTATCTGACCTACTTGTTTGGCAAATCACAACAGCTATAAACACTTTTACGGCCATGCTAGTGGCTCTTTGAGGTTGTGTGACACAGCAGTGCTCTGACTTTAATGCTCATAACAGTATGTTAACATGCTTACGGTGACAATGCAAGCATACTACTGTATATAACTACAGGTTTTTGTGGGTAATAGGTCAACAAAGTTAGAGCTATGTGCTTAATTTACATTTTGTCAAGCTGCTGTTTCTAGGGGTGAAAAATGAAACTTCAAGCTAAGCATCCGAGAGCTGTCAAGACTTCGCTAAAAGCCGTAAGTATCAATGGTGCCTCTACGAAAAGTCACGCAGTCAAGAAACTCACTAGGATTCATTATGTGGACACCATGCATATCTCTGCTAAATTGCATGGTCAATCCATCTTACAGTTGTAGAGATATTTCAAAGTGGTGGCCAAACTGACTGACCAACCAGCGTTGGAACGCAAATGTTGATATACTGTAAAACACTTTGTTATCATGGGCCAAAATAAAAGCCTAAGAACACCTGAGCAGACTTCAAATGACAACACCTTCCTCGAATTTCAAGACGCTATCTAATCTCCTCCATCTCTAACCATAACGCACCTGGAACAAATGTGGCAGTCAAACACACAAAGTGGTCAAACAGAGGGTGTTTCTGTGTAGGGACAGGATGAGCCCTGTGTCAGAGCGGCCTATTAAACTACACACAGGCCCTGAAGGCAGGAAGCTACTATTGACTGGGAGACATCAAGAAAAACACACCTTTGAAAGCACACACAGCACACACACTGAACACTATACACACACAATGAGGTGGATAAAATCTGTCAGGTATCAAGTACTGCCCTGAGGGAGAGGGTTGACCTGCGGAGGCCAGGGGAGTCAAACACCCAACTGACAAATAGCTCATTCAACATCACATACACATCTCGATTATACTGATTTATCCCTGACTGGCACATAGTAGATGAACTATTACTTAGTAAAGAAAGAAGAGATGCATATATTCAGAGATTTGGAGTTGATACAGGGTTAAAACTGATTCCTGTCTTGAGGTAAGATGGAGGAGATTAGTTCACAAGCATTCTTGCTCTTGCTCTATATGTCACATTAACTCATGGATCTCCAACTTTTCCCATCTGGTATGTTTGCCCTGCATCTTAAAAGCCACTGAGTTTGTGCCCGGTGAGTGTTGTCAGAGGTAGAAGTGTGTGTGAAACAGGAGAGGGCAAAGAGAGGTCATGCGTTGAAATGCCCTTAAGCAAGACACTTGCCTTAACTCTTTCAATAAATGTAGATTATTAATCAGAGGTTCAAGGGCAGTCCACGTCCCTAACATGCACACCTTTCGGCCAACCGCGTACATATATGTCCCCATTCCTGACCCAGCCACTTTTGTTTCTTCGATAAACCCTCCTTCACTGCTCTCTATTTTCAGACTCCCTTCCTCTACAGTCTTGCTTCTCTGTAGGGGATCTGCTGAGCTCGGAGCAGCGCAAGTTCCTTAGAAGGCTCCAACAAACCATTGACCACCATCATCACGACTCCAGCATGTCATGTATAAGCACAGATACATCACATCCACTCTGAGTTATCTCCCTCAGTCCCTGGCTATGCCCCTCACCAAGCGTGGTACTAGCCAGTGAACAGGCTTCTCTTCTACAGAAGCAAGTGTTTATGAGAGGGTTATGAAGGGCCAGCTGTGATGAAACCGAAAGAGTTATTCATGTTTGGACTGGGTCTTGTTGGCAAATGTCTTTTTATGAATCTGGCCATGACTAAAGTCGCAAGTTTGGGATAGAAAGGGCAGGAAAAGTTTGAGGGTTTTTTCAAGATTACTCATTTTTTGAAATCAAGTTTCAACAATAAAAAAAATATCACTTCCACTCAAAAGGAAAATTACACTGATACAGAAATGGAATATATGGAGTGTGTTTGGCTCTATGAAAAAACAAGAGTGGTACAAATGGACTCTAAGAGCAGGAGAGAATAAGAGTGGAGATAATGTCTCAGTAAAAGAGGCGAATGAAGTCTGAGCGGAAAAACGTAACTCCTGATAGGACCACAGAGAGACTTTAAGGGCCCTGGATGGAAAGAGCCACATCATAGCAGCAGGAGTCAAGAGCAGAAGCTGGAGACAGACACAGAGGAGGGGGAGGACACCAAGAGGGAGACAAAAAGATGTTTTTTTTTCAATAGCCAGAGTGGGAGAAATCAAGTGTTAGTGCAGATAAGAGATAAAAAGTAACAAGTAGAGCGTGCGAGGCATCTGCAGCAGATGGAGAATGTGCATCAGGAGAAGCATTGAGGGCAGAAAAAAAATCCCAGGGATGAATGTGAGGGTCTACAGTGCAGTTTATGTTTGTTGGCAGTGTTTGCAGGTGTTTGTGGCTTGTGTTTACTGAGCATTTCAAAGCCACTGTGGATGTTAAGCAATTTTCAAAGCAACACTGTGTGTGAGGGGGAGGAGAATAGAAGAAAAAGTGACCTTACGTGTTGGGGTCTTTTTTGGAGCCCATGCTGGACAAGCCTCTAATGATCACAACTTGAGATTTTGCCTTTTTTAATTACCCACCCAGGCCTGACTGAGTCGCACAAAGCTTGAGAATGGGGTGGCACAGATGGAACAAAAACAGGCAAATTCCTTGGGAAAGGTGCCCTCTGAACCCTGCAGCTAATGCAACCCCTGCTGCTCAAGCTGCTCATTATTGTTGTTAGAGAGGAGGAGAAGGATGGCACTCCACAACAAGGCCACCACAACTGCTGAAGTCATGGTCCACAGGCCATGTGAGAAGAGCTTTTGGTCAAGAGCTCTTCTGTGACGCCAGCACCAAACGAGCATCTTTAGCACAGATTGTGGCCCAGAATGTAATGCATTATTATGAATTCAATTTGATCTGAAACACAAGAGCTGCCTAACATTTTCTCACAGGCCTGGGAGCATGTAGGTTAACAGAGATGGAGTCACCTTTCAGTGTGCCGGGCCGCTGCTCCTGCCCCACTTAAAGGTGCTGGGATGGCCCCTGGCCTCTGTCACTCATGTGATCCATCAGTCATCCTCATCTGCACAATCTGACTTTATCTTAATGAGCTGTTGTTATTGCTGTGAATAAATGGAGACTGCTTCCATTCAGAGGACAACAAGATGAGCATTATCACGTTAACTAAGCATCACAGTTGATCAGTCAGAGGCTCCTGATGTCTGCCTGTCCAGGAGAGGAAACCTACAGGATGAACATAAAGCCTCAGGTCTAACAAAATGTCCAGCGCCATGACCCACTGTGGACATCCACACAGGACAGTGTGTTGTCTGGGTTTTCTATTTTGTAAATTGTTTTAATACTTTACTTTAAGCACATTTCCACATCAAACTAAAAGACTGCACATTGTAATAGTCAGTTATGTACAGTGGCTTTGAAAATGATTGTTCTTTGCTGAATGTTTTGCACATTTTGCATGGTAGAGCTCATTTTAAATCTAAAATACTACAATTTTTGTCCATGAATTTACATTTAGTAGCCCATGATAAAGTGAAAATCTAAACTTAAAGATAACAACTGAATTCCAAACACTTAAACCAAAACATTTTATTTTTCTCCAAAAAAAAAATTACACATTTTGGAAATGTGAACGACACATGTAATAGTGACATTCATGTCGGCTTAATTAACAATTTATACACAGTATTCAAAATAACAAAAGTGCATTTAGAACTTATTTTAATAAAACAACTGCCATCTTTTCCCCCGCACTTACACACGAATGCCCTGTACTACAGCACCCTCTTGTGGTTTACATTTTAAAAACCAATATTTGTGCTCAAACAAAAACATGAAAACAAAAAGTAAATAAATTAGGTACAGACATTTCGAGTCATTCAGTAAACAAATCAGGTTCTCCCCTCAGACCTGAACGACTGACAGTTTGGGATTCCCTGAGGTTTATTTTTGGTAAAAGTGCAAAAGATAAAAAAGAAGAAAAAATCTAAAACATGTGACTCTGGCATTTCCCTGCGTCTTAGTTCTTCCAAAAACTAAAAAAATTAAAGCCCCAGTAGCTCTCAGATCTCTTTGTTCCTCCGAGGAATGATGGGCCTGCGATACGTCCGTCTTTCAGAGATGTTGCGTTTGACTTTGATCACTGTCGGGGGAGCCATCTCCAGCTCCAGAGACGGACTGGAGTAGGACTTTTTCAGCCTGCCTTCCTCCTCATCTTCCTCTCCCACAGAGTCTGCACACATGACTTTATCAAACAGGTTCAGGTTAGTGGCGCTCAAC